GGCGGAGGCGTAGGTGTCGGTGCGGTCGTCGGCGCCGGCGTCGCCCAGGTGCACAGCGCCGAGCTCCACGTCCGCGCCTGTCCACGACCCCATGCGCGCCCCCCCGTTGCGGTACTCCCTGGTGTCAGAGTCGGCGGGGGCACGGGCGCCGATGCTGGCACCGGCGCGGGCCTCGGCGACGGCGCGGGCGCTGGCGCCAACGGAGCCCCAGCAACCCGCCGGCAACCGGGCGCCGTGGACGACCTCGTGGGCGCGGACCAGTTTGACCTCTGACCCTCCCGGCACCCCCGCATCGTCGTCGCCATCGTCGCCCGCTCCCGGCGCCAGGCCCGAGGCAGCCGCGGAGTCGCCCAGGGCGCGATGCTCCCCGAGGCTGGTCTCCTCGGGCTCCTCGGGAATGAGCTCCCCCTGGATAGTGGTCCTCCTCATCCTCCTCCGCCTCCTCATCCTCGCTCTCGGAGAGACCTCCTCCCTCGCCGCTCCTTCGCCTCCGCCGCCCACTCCTCTTCCTCCTCTGCCGCCGGCCCCTTCGGTCGGAGCGACCCCGCCGGGCTCGAGCTCGTCGACGCGGGCCCGCAGGTTCTCGGCGATCGTGGCCCCCAGCTCGAGGTTCGTCGTCAGGCGGTCGATCCATGCCAACAGGCCGTCGATCCACGCCCACAAGTTGTCGACGTCGACGTCCGCGCGGCTCCCCGCCAAGGCCTCCTCGGCACGGAATCTGCGCGCCCGCTCGTACTCGCACGCCTGGCTCTTCCCTTGGGCGAGCCTCTCGGCCATCCTCTGTCGCCGTGCCGTCTCCTGCCGGCGAGTCGCCTCCTCTTCGTAAGCCTGGCGCCACGCTTCGGCTCCCTCGGCGGCACGAGACCGCTCGGCCTCCAGAGCAGTGCACCGCGACCGGGCCTCGGCCAGCTTCTCCCCGGCGTCGAGCGCCTCGGTCGCCCAAAGCTGCAGGTTGGCGCCTTTCTCGGCCAGCTCAGCCTCCATGCGGCGATGTCGGAACTCTGCGCCCAACGCGCGGCAGGCCAACCAGCCAGCAACCAGCCAGCTCAAGCGCAGCGGGTCGAAGCTCAGCGCTGCCTCGCCGGGCCCGTAGGTGTCCAGGGACCCCGTCGGCTGGCCTGATGCCTCGCCGGGTCTCCCAGGATGCGTGGGCGGGGTGCGTGGCTCTTCCCTACCGGGACCGCCCTGGGCACCCGACCCGCCCGCTGGCTCGGCCGCGGCTGGGCTACCCGAAGGTCCGCTCCCGCGCGCGCGGCCGACGCCAGTCGTAGTGGAAATGGGCCCTGCGGGCCCGGCCGCGGCTGGGCTAACTGCGGGTTCGCCCCCGCGCTCGCGGCTCGGGCCGGGCTGCGAAGATGTCGTCGTAGTCGTCGACGTCGTAGTCGTCGTCGTGGTTGTGGTAATGGTGACCCCAGGAGGTTTGGCCGGCGGCCCTCGCCCCTTCCTTCCCGCAGGCGCAGGCTTGGCGGGCGGAGCTCGCCCCTTGCCATGCCCCCCGCCGCCCGCGGGCCGGAGTTTCGGCCCGGGCTGAGATGGCGGCGCCGGCGCTGGGGACATTGCGTCCCCCGCGCGGCCAAGAAGCCACCAACCCATCGCCCCTTGGGCCGAGAACGCCCCACCAACCGCCAAGATCACGGCATGCGCCCCGAGGAAGCCCACGGCCATGGCACCGCTGGCCCGCACACCCGCCACGAGGCTGGTAGCGCCGGCCACGTCCGCACACCCGCTCCCCAGAGCTGGCGGTGCAGGACGCTGCGGTTTTGGCCGCCCCGCGGCCCCCCGGGACCCCCGAGTCCTGGCTCGATCTCGAGCCCACGACTACGGACCCCAAATGGCTAAGGCAAAGCCCCCACTTCCCTACGCTGAACCTGCAGTCTACCAGCATAAAAGACTATACAAGCTACAAGATCATTTTGCTGCCGAGGGTCGCTCCAGGCATCGAGATGCGCACGGGCGAGAATGGCTACTCCCACCGAGCGCCCCAAGGCTGTTGTGACCTCGCACTGAGAAAAGAACGTCTTCCAACCCAGCTTACGCATCGCTTCCCTCGCCTCTAGAAGGCGTTGACCATGCAGTTTATGTTCTTGAACCAGTACTATGTGAGCCTCACTGAGCTTGATGAGGTTGGCTGCAGTCGTCCAGCAATTGCCGTTGACGGTGAGCACCTGCAGCCCCTCGGCGGCGGCTGCCGCCCGCAAGGTGTTACCCTCGCGATGGGCCTGCGGCCTGCGCCGCAGCCTCAGCAGCCGCTGCCTGCTCGCTCTCGCTCTTCAGCTTCTCGTCCGCCTGGCTCGCCAGCGCCTCGTCAGCAGCCCGTCGGCCCGCCAGCGCCGCCGCAGTCATGGGGGCATCTGCTTCAGCGCGATGCCCCGCCGCTGCAGCCTCCTCGCGAGCTGCCGCCATGGGCTGCCCTGCTTCCGCAGTCTGCGGTGAGGCGCTGGAGGCGGCGGCCGCGCTCTCCGCGGGAGGCGCCATGCCTCCGCGGGCACGGATCTCCGCGGCGAAGCTCTCCATGGGCTGCCAGAGCTCCTGCATGAGACTCGGGGCTAGCCCTGTGCTGAGGAAGTTCATGCTGTGGAGGAAGGCCTGCGCGTCCACCTGTCCGTTGGCGACCCCAAACTGGCTGAGCGCACCCACGGCCTGTCCTTTACCCGCTGGCGTCGGGTCGGGGAGCCCTGGAGGCGTTGAGTAGTAGTCATACACCGCCTCTTGCGGCAGCCTGAGGGCCGCCACTTTGTCCCCCAGCTCCGCCTGCGTGGCCTCGGCTGCTTGAACCTCGGCCTGCAGCAGCGCCTTCTTGACCTCGAGGTCCTGAAGCGCCTGCATCTGCTCCTGAACATAACGCGTCTGGGCCTCCAGCTGCTTCTGGGCTTTGTTCAGCTTGGCGAACTGAGCCTGCTGCCGCTGGGACACTGTCTTCTCGCTGTCGCGCTCCTCACGCAACCTCTCCAGGACAGCCGTGACGGCCTCGGACGCTTCCATCGTGGACTCCTCGTCTGCGCCAGTCTGCTTCGCCGCCAGCGCCTTCAAAGAGTCCAGCGTGCCTTGCAACTTCTGGATCTGCTGCTTGTTTGACGTGTTGGGCTTCCTCGCCGCGCCCGTAGGCTGCTGCGCCTTGCGCTGCGGTGTGGAGACCCCACTGCCCGACGATGTCACCTCAGCTTCCCAGTGGACGCCGCATCTCCAGCACCATTGGTGTTGCAAGCTGACTAGAGCGTGGCACCCTGGGCATGTCCACGAAAAAGATGACGGCGCCTGCGACATGGACTGAGCCTGGGGTGGGCGTGCCTTTCCCTTCCCCTGGCCCTGGCTCTTCTTGGCCTTGTCCTTGCCGCTGCCACCCTTGCCCATCACTGCAGGCGGTTCGGTGTGCTGGCAGCTTTGACCGTCGGGGCGGTGCTCCGAGCTGCGAAACAACCTGGCGCTGCGCCACCTCGAGCCCTTACCACTCCAAATGGGAGGGAAACGGCTTGAGCCAGGGGCTGCGGATCTCCTCCTCCTCCTCCTCCTCCTCCCTCTCCTCCTCCTCCTCCTCCTCCTGCATCTGGTGGTGGTGGTGGGCAAAATCGGCCCCTCGACTGCCCTGGGCGCCGCTGGCCTCCTCGGCGCCGGCTTCGCCGCCGGCCGCCTGTCGGCGAGGCCCCGCGGGCGGAGGAGGCCCTCGGGCAGGGCGTCCGAGTGGCGGACGCCGGAGGCCTTCCAGGCCGGACAGTTGCGCTCGGGCAGTTGCGCTCGTGCCCCACCTTCTTCTCCTGCCAGCTGGAACTTGTCGATCCATTATGCTGCCGATGCCCTTGATGTGGGCGCTCTGTTGTACCGTCGGCCTCGCGGCCCGCGACAAATTCCAGCCAATAGTCTCGCTATCTTGTGGGCGTCGTAGAATCTCCTGGCTTTCCATTCACCCCAAAGCCCCTCTATGCGTTTTTCCATCAGTGATTGAATAAACTGCCTCTTCAACTTCTTCAACTGTCGACTTAATCTGGCTACTTCAATATTGCTTCATCAGGGTACTTCGTCTCGTTCTCCTTGGCCTGACGTCTCGCCTTGAGTATTTTTTAAGTTGCGAGCTCTGTGCCAATGTATCTTCCCTTTGTTCAACGTGCCCTGGAGACTCCTGCAATTGCTCTGCTGCTACCTCTTGTACAATCTGCATGATGCCCGCGTTAAGTTGGTCCACATCTCCTGCCATCTCCCACTCTTCGAACTGCTGCTTGTGTTCCGACAGCCGCTCTTCGACCTGTGCCACGAACTGTCTTCTGCCTGTGCCGTACAGCAGTACTGCGTTGCACGCTTCCTGACTGTACTTCAGCATCCTGGGCTTCGTCTGGTACTCGTACGTGTGCCACATAGCCGTGTAGAGTGGGAAGTGGTCCTTTCGCGTATTACACCTGATGTGCTGCAATCTCCTACCCTTGTTAACTGAGACGAAACACTTTTCTACGTTTTGAATCATACTACGCGGGCACGCCGGAAAATCTATGCGTCTCACAACTTTTGATGAGATGCCGTAATATGTGGCGCCCGCGTTGAAGTACGTGTTGGCCAACACCAGGTCGTGCGCCTGCAACGTTGGCTTGATGCTGCGAAAGTTGGGTCCCTCCGCGGCTGGCATGATCGTACCCGTGACTAGTGACGTCCCATCCAGTCCGCATTCTGAATTAAGATCCATTCCAATCAACGGGAGGTACCGTGCTGGAAGAGAATTGAGCTGGTCGTGCAACCACTTCGTGAGTTCCGAGGATGTGGCCTTCTGCTCTGTCACCGCCCCTTTCCCCTTACCTCTAGTCGGGTAGTACAGCACAAACAACGCTAGGTCCTGGCGACCCCTTTTGTATCTGACCATGAGTGCTCTGCCCTGTAGCTTCTTGTGGCCCTCGACCATGCGCACGATGTGTGTCTCAGCATATCTGTGTCTGCGAAGCGCAATTGCCACACCACGCGCATGATTATTGTCTCTGCCGTAGCCCGAATGCACAACCATATGCTCTGCTGTGACCTGCCTCGATGGTTCCCCTCGACTCCTGACCGTCGTCCCCTGGAGGAATATGATGTCGACAGACTGGTACTCCTTCGAAATGTCGTTGAGCCTGAGCGGGGCGGCGAGAGTCAACGGGTTGTACACCACCGTCCGCAAGCTCCGCCAACCGCCGCCGCTCCCGTCCCTGGGCCCGCTCATTCTATCAAAACATGATGGCTGGAGGGGACCGATGGGGGTGCTGCCGCTGAAGCTGCCTGATATCGCTCGATCGAAAGGGGCAGCTGAGGAGGAGGAGGAGGAGGAGGAGGAGGAGGAGGAGGAGGGCCCATCTCTGGGCGTGAGGTGGGAGCGACGTGGCGGTGCGCAGCGTGGCGGGCACGACGTGGCAGCGAGCCGGTGCCCGCGACCAGAGGTTCGGAAGAATGCCCTGGCCGCTGCGCCCACCGCTTGGTTCTCCAGCAAAATCCCTCCTCCTCCTCCTCCACCTCCTCCTCTTCCTCCTCCTCCTCCTCCTCCTCGTCCTCCTCCTCATCCTCCGCTTCCTCCCCCCACTCCTAGCCCTTTCGATCAGGGTCGGCGGCACCGGCCAGCAGGCCTCTCCAATCCCACTGGACACGAGCTGCGCTTCTTTGGGGCACACTGGCGAGACCATCCCCTCGAGCGCCCCAGGGTTTGTCCCGATCAAGGGCGGGGCCCTGCAGCTTGCAGCGCCAACGTGCGTTTGGGGAACGACACCCAAAAGGAACTGCAAGCTCTGCTTTGAGTTTGAAGGCCCCTCTGCCCGTCGTCCATGTCGTGTGAGAGTTGCAGGAGGCGAGCCAATCCGCATAATTAGGGTGGCAGGCTCCATACTCGCAAAACTTCATCCAACATGCGTTCTGGCGCTCCCTCATCCTCCTCCTCGTCCTCCTCCTCAACGTAATCCTCCTCCGCAGCGTCCTCGGGTTCCCCACTCCCCTCGTCAACACCCTCCGCCTCCTCTCCCCTTCATCGTTGCATCCGCTTCTTTTCCGTATTCGATGTCCCCTGAACTCTCCTCTGCAGTCCTTCCGCTCACATGCATCCGACGATGATTGTTCGCTCGGGATGCACGGTCTAATCACGGTATCTTGCAACTCCTCCCCCGCGAGGCCTTGAAAAACTGCCTCGCGCTCAGCCGCTTCCTCTTCGGCTGCAGCATGAATGCCTGCACTGCTCGACGAAAATCTACACTTCCCTCCAGCATCTGTCGCTTTTGCAGATCTGCGAACCTGGCTACATCTAGTGAGCATGTCCCGATCGCGAATATGCAGTTGGGAGTCACTTACCATCATGGCCCATCCCCAAGCTGACGACCTGCATGCCATATCATCCTGATGTGCCGTTCTTCGCTATGCGCACGTACGCTTTCCTACACCCATCGCATATACCCTGGACGCTGTTCACAATCCCAAGGGCAACGAATAAGATCAGCCTCGACAGCAATGAGCGGCACAATTGCCAACACTGTAGGGACAAGGAACGGCGACACCAACACCACCGGGGCGAGGAGATGCGAGGAGGCAAAGGGGGTCTCCCTGGTGGTGTGGTCCCCCCTCTCGCTCGAGACATCCCGGGCCTCCAGCTCGGGGAGGCGTCGTGGACCTCCTCGCTGGAGGTGGGCCCCCTGGTGGTGTTGGTGTCGCTTTTCCTCCCTCCGGCACTGGGAAACTCCTGTCGACAAAGCCTCGGGCGACGGGCAGGACTCCCTATGCGGGGAAACAGGCTCACAGGGGAACGGCAACGAGGGGCAGAGCAGAGCAGCGTCGCGGCAGAGCAGCTCATTCCAGCGCTGAACTCTGAACATGCAAGCGGGAACTGACAGGGGATATGGCGACCCCTATCCCAAGCTTCGTGGAGTTTTGAATGGACCAAACATTTGGGGCCCAACCGTGGGATATACGATGGGGGGGCAACCATCCTCGATAGGGGTGCGTCCGAAAAGCCCCCTTGCGGTGTATCCCAGGGTTTCGGTCCTTTCTGAGCGGCTTCATTTTCCGTCGAAGAGTCAGGGGCTGGGGGAGAAAAAACACCTGCGAGGAACACTGTCAGGTCGGACGAAGTGCGGGGTTGTAGAAAGGGGAATTCGCGAATCAGCTCAAGTAGCTGGTCTTCCAAGGCGGCTCCCAGCACTGGGCAACGCTAACGAAGGGCGCCAGGCAGCAGGGCCGAAACCAACTGCATGTGGCAGATTTCGTAACCCGCTCTTTCCCTATCTCCGCCTTTCGTCCGACCCGACATTGGCTGGCCCTTGCGCCTCCAAAACATCGCCAACCCATCACCCGACAATGCTGGCCCTTGCGCCGCGAACCTGTCGCCCGAGATGGGAGGGGAGACCCGTGGAGCGGACGGACGCGGCACTTCAGACTTTATAACGGTACGTCTCGCGTGTATCTTGCTTTCCTTACGTGGGGCGTATGCCTGGAGGCACGCGCGAAGACTCTCTTGGTCTCGACAAAGAACGCGCGTGGACAAAGATCCGACGAGATGGCAGCCCGCATGTTGAACTTTAGCGGAACAGCCAGCGGAAAGCCCATGCGCCAATAGGCCTGGCTCATCCATTTAACAAACCTTGGGGATTTAGTTGTGTGTTTTGTTGCAGGGGCTCTAGCTGAACTCTGGCAGATTTAAAACGCGGATAAAGCGTTTCTTTCCAAACTCGTGTTCGGGTAATTCTTTTAGCGTTATCACGTGTCCCCTTGTGGTAGATACCGTGGGGGGCGAAGAATATCCTGGGACGGGCTTGCCGGCGCAAAGCCGGTCAGGGGAGCGGGGACAATCCTGGCACGGTGCAAACACAACGAAACACTCAAACAAAGGTCCAGCACAAGCCCGAAAGCCCACGGCCACGCTTGGGCAGCCACCACGAGCCCGAGAACGCAACGTATTATATGCATATGTTCAATGTGTCTGTTGAGGTATGAGGGCGCCAAGATCAATATCTCCACACTGCCGAATTGAACCGGGTAAAACATGCACAGGCCGATGTGAAGATTTGCCAGCCCAAAGTCAAGAACGCAAAACCTAAGAAATGAAGAAGCGTTTCCGGCCGTGGCGACCACGATAGTGTTCCCCGACCTAGACCTGAGATGCGGTCCAAAAAGCAAAGCCCCTCGTCAGCTCCTGAGCCCCAAGTGGCCCTTACCCTCTAAAGGTCTTTAGAACCCACCAAATAAGGTGCAAGAAACATATTTTATCGGCTGCCTCATTCACGGATTGGTGTTCTGGGGGGAACTTAGTATCTTTCCCACGCGGCACGCGCCGCGCAACAACGACACCGACAACTACAACTACGATTGCGACTACGACTACGACGACTACCCGTCATTATACTATGCCTTAGGAGCGATATCATGCAAAATCTTGGCCCAGATACTTGATCCGCAGAAACCTTGTCCTAGAAACTCCATCCTGAGAAAGACTGTTGAAGCTCAGGCCCCCCAGCGGCCCCTCAGAACCTCCATCCTCAGCAGCTTCATCCTCAGAAGCTTCACCCTCAAGAAGACGGTTGAAACTCAGACCCCACGAAAACCGAATAAACTCTACCCCCAGAAGCTCCACCCGAAAATTTAATCGAACCGTGAGGAAAAACAACACGTACACACAATACGTACAACAACGATACGTAAACGTGAGAAGAAAACAACACGTACAAAACAATACGTAAAACAACACGCAAAACAATCCGCAAACAAAAAACAACACGCAAAAACAACAACACTTAAAACAATACGTACAAACACTACATATAATCGGTATGAATATAACAACGCATGAAAAACAAAACGTAAAACAACACTATGTTAAACCAACGCGTGACCACAACGCGTGATGTTTACGTACGCAGAACGCGTAATACACGCGAGTATGCGTTCAACCCGCGTTAAAACAACACGTAAAAACAACACGTAACACAATGCGTAAACCAACGCGTAACAACACGTACGCGCAGCACGTAAATCAATACGTAAATGCAACGAAGGTTTCATTTACCGTGAGGAAAACAATGCGTAAAACAGTACGCAATTCAACAGGTGAAACAAACAGTCGCGTTACAAACCCTTCAAAACAACACGCAATAACAACACGTAAACAATCAAAACGTGAACGTGATAAGAAAACAACATGTAAACACAACACGTAAAGCAACACGTAAAAACAGCACGTCAAAACAACACGTGAAACTAATGCGCAAAACAAAACGTAAACCAATACGAAAAACTAACTCGTAAAAACAATACGTGAAAACAATACGTTAAAACAGCACGCGGTCACAACGCGCAAGCACGACGTAAACACAACGCGCAATACACGTGAGAACCCGTTCACACCAACGTAAAACACACGTTAAAACAACGCGAAAACACACACGCACACAAACAAACAACACGCAAACCAACACGTAACACAGTACGTAAACAACACGTAGTAACACGTACGAGCAGCACGTAAACCAATACGTAAACGCAACGAAATTTTAAATTAACCGTGAAGAAAACAATACGTAAACCACTACGCAACACAATGCGCAACGCATAACAACACGTTAACACAACATATCAAAACAACACGTAAGCGCATCACGTAAAACAATATGCAGCCAACCTAACATGCAACAGCACGTAATCACACCGCGAAGCTGTTGAGGCCCAGTAAAACGACCGGCGTGCTGACCCCCCCCTTGGCGACATGGGGTGCGTCGCGCCTTCGTCGCCCGTGCGCCGCCCGTGCGTCGGCCGCCGAATAGGCGGGCCGCCCTCGCGAACGCGCGCGTCGCCTTCGCAAGGGAGCATTTTGGCGAGTGCGTCGCCAGCGTGGCGGGCACCCACGGGGCGGATCGCACGCGCGTCGCCCGCTCCACAGCCGCCGAAAAAGCCGGTCGCCTGCGGAAAACAAGAAAGTCGTCCAGGCAGCGGCCTCTTTTGGAAAAAGGCGGCTGCTGGGTTACCTCGGCAGATCAGCAATCCGCGACACTGCTGAACGCACTCGGGCACTCGAGTGCTAGGCAAGTCCCCGCAACCGCTACCATGGCCGCCGCAACAACCGCCAACGCCATGACTACCACCGCCACGATCATCACAAACGGCCACGACCGCAACCGCGTCCACAGCGAAGATATTAACCGTCACTTTTACCGCCACCACCGCCATGACCACCGCGCATTTCGCGACAACCGCAACGACCGACACCAGCACGATCACCAACGTGACCACCGCCAGCCCGCCCACCACACCAGCAGCGCGACCACCGCCATCGCGACCAAGGCGACAACCGCGACCGCGACCGTGATCACCAACATGACCACCACAAAAGCACCCACTCACTGCGTCCTGCCCCCTCCCCCCCTTTCGCCTGCTGGGCCGCCCTTGCCGCCGCGCTCGCCTCGCGCCCCTGCCCCCTCCCCCCACCTCTCCCCCCCTCCTCATGATCCCCCTCTTCCAGCGCCAACGGCGGGGACTTTCGCGCATGGCGGGGGCGCCTTTTCGCGGCCTCGCGCCGCGGCCGCGGGGGGGGGCCGAAGGAGAATAACGAAAATGCAGAGGGGCAGGGGATGGCACAGGGGAGTAAAACAAATACGAGAGGCGGGGGGAAGGGGGGGCAGATGGGGGGCGGGGAAAAAGGGAGAGGAAAGGGGGGAGAGGGGGAGAGGAGGCAGGTGGGATGACGAAGGAGGAGGAGAAACGAATGAGGAGGGACGACGAGAAACGAGGAAGGAAAGGAAGAGGGGCGAAGCACGGGCCTTCCTGGCGCAAATGAAGACGCTGCCGCCGCCACTCGCGAGCAGCGCAAGCACGGCGGGCCGACGTCCGCTGCGCATTATTGTTCGGAGAAAAACAAGGGGCGGGCAAGGTCGAGACTGCGTCGCGCATGCGTCGCGCGTGCGTCGCGCGTGCGTCGTGGGTGCGTCGCGCGTGCGTCGCGCGTGCGTCGCGCTTGCTTCGCGCTCGCGGCGCGTGCGTCGCGCGTGCGTCGCGCGGATCGCTTTGGCGTCGCGCGCCGGCGGGGGCCGTCGCGCGCGTGTCGGGGTGCGCCGCGCGCGTGTCGCGCGCGCATTTCGCGCGCGTCGCGCGTGCGTCGCTCGGGCCGTTTGTGCGTCGCGCGCAGGTCGCGCGCGAATCGTTCGAAGGGCGCCGTGGACTTCTGACGGCGCGTGAAGTGCGCGGCCCA